ACATAAACGTCATGTTCAAAAAATAATAAATGTAACAACAGAATTTATAAAAAATAACATAATATTAAACTTGAAAAAAGATGTTAAAGAAGTACTAAAAGAATCAAAAATTGATAACAATAAAATGATTTTAAATATAGAAGACATATTTCGTTTATATGAAAATCCTTTTGATGGTTTAGATACGGAATATAAAAGATTTCAGTTTTTCAAGGAAAAGAGTAGTTTTATTGAAGCCGAATCATATGTAATTGGTATAAAAAATATAAGTAAGTGATATAATGGACAATTTTCACTTACACCTGTAATTGTAAGTGGTCAATTTATTTCAATTAAAAAAATACTGAATGGATTGTTTACCATACCAGGATTTTTAACAACAATATTAAATTATATACAAATTTTGTCTAATGAAAGTAATGTAATCCATAATGTTATTCAAGCTAAGTTGTACAAACGCTTGGTAAAACGGTTTCCAACAGATTCTATAGTATTACCTATTGTTTTATTTTATGATGCTTTTGAAACACAAAATCCTTTAGGTGGGCATGCAAGCAATCATAAAATGGGCGCAACTTATTTTCTTTACTTTGTATTCCACCACAGTTTTCTTCAAAATTGGACAATATTTTTCTCACTTTATTATTTAACGAGAAAAATAGAATTGAATTTGGAAACAAAAGTGCTTTTTTACCGCTTATAAAAGAATTACAGTATTTAGAAAACAATCCAATATTAAAAAATTATAATGGCAATGATATTTATGTATCTTTTATAGCAATGACAGGTGATAATCTTGGAATTCATGAGATTTGCGGTTTTGTAGAAAGTTTTGTTGCCAATTTTCCATGTCGTGTTTATAAAATGTCACGTGATTTATTAAGAGAAACTACTACTGAAATCGATACTCTTTTGCGAACAAAAACCAATTATAAAATAGACATAAGATTAGGAGATGTATCAAAGACAGGCATAAATGAAGAATGTATTTTTAATTGCTTAAAAAACTTCAGTTTATTCGATAATCTCGCATTTGATATTATGCATGATATCTTTGAGGGTATATGCCAATATGAGTTGTCTCAAATACTTTTGCATTATATATATAATGCAAAATATTTCACGCTTGAACAACTAAATAATCAATTAAAGAGATTCGATTTTGGTCTCCAAGATGGAATTAACCGTCCTCCTTCTTTAAAGAGAGAGAGTTAAAAAATTATCGTTTAGGCTTTTCTTCATCCGAGACAATTTATTTTGTAAAATATTTTGGATTATTAATTGGCGATTTGATACCAGAAAACGATGAATATTGGGATTTATACGTTTCTTTAAGAGCTATTATTGATATACTTCTAGCGCGATCAATAACAACTACAGATATTGAATATTTAAACATTTTGATTACCGAACATTTAGAAACTTACATTCAATTATTTGGAAAAACTTTGAAATTGAAATTTCATAATATGCTTCACTATCACCGAGCTATGGAAAGATTTGGGCCATTAATTAACATATGGTGTATGCGTTTTGAAGCAAATCATCAAAAATTTAAAGCTTTCGCACGTATAACATCTAATGTTAATCTACCTTTGTCATTAATGCAAAAGAATCAATTTATATTAAATGATAGAATTATGAAACAACGTTCATTTAAGGAAGAAGTGCTTTTTACATGTGACACTACAAACACGATTAAAAATCATCCATTTTATTTTAAATTTAAAAGCAATTTACCAGATTCATTATTGTTATTGAAATGGATTAAAATAAATAATTGTACCTACAAACCTAATACAATTTTAAGTTTAGGAGTCCAAAATATTTTACCTTCTTAATGCATTATTACAATTATTGCTGCTGATGAAACTGATGATGTTCTTTTTATAACTCAAAAATTAGAAACTCTTGGATTCTCGTCTCACTTTTATGCTTATGAAGTGATTCTTACAGAACATTTTTTGCTTTTAAAGTTGCAAGATATAATTAAATGTAATCCTTTTCCTTTAACAAAAACGATTGTAGGTAGTAATTCTTATGTAGTGTACGATTAAATACTAAAACAAATGTTATACCTATATTTTAATCCATTTCATTAGTTACAGATGATTTACTTGTAAAATTGGAAATCTGTGTAATATTATGCATATGTATATGCTATTATAAGAATACTTATAAAATAAACTGCGTTTTTATTTCACTTACTGATAAAAATACAATGTGTATAATAATAACTAATATTTAAGAATGACATACATAAATAAATAAATAATAAATAATATTTTATTGAATATATTGTATTTTCATTTAAAAATTATCCTATTTATTTGTACAACGATGATACCACGGAATTATTGTGTAAATTTAATATTTATATGAGTACACTGGAAGAAATAGTTTGATAATAACTACTAAATTTAGGAAGAAATAGTGCCAATTTGGTTATAATAACCAACGTTTAATCAGCATTATTTTAAATGTTTGGTAGCTATTACCAAATTGGTTTTTAGTGCATAATAAAAATATATCTTCAAATAAAATATTTTGTTTAGATAATCAAAATATTTGGTTAGAGTAAAGCAACTTGTATTACCAAATACTTTTATTCTCTATAACAAAATCCATTTTGTTACCACTTTTTGGTTGCTCTAACAAAAATATTATGTTAAACTAACAAAATATAAATAATAAAACTATTTGTTTATGCTAACTAATTAGTTTTGTTTGGTACATTTCAACCAAATTATTTTGTCACTGCAACAAAATTTTGGTTCCTACAACAAAAAATTTTTCCTAGTACATCCATTATGGCTCGCCGCATGATATCGACCTAACTGCCTACATGAAGTATCTGTATTTACAGATATTAAATATATAATAAAACAATTGGTATTATCTAAATTAATAAAAAAGTTGGTTCATAATATACAAATATATTATTGTATTTGTATATTTATAAATGCATATTATTAAGCACCAAGACTCGCTTTTCACCAAAAATGACATTTTTCTACTTTCTAATAAAAAGACTTTATTGACATTTAAACAATATTTTTACACATAAAATTGCAAGAAAGAATTTTGAAGTTTGTAATAAATAGTTACGTACTTACCAATGTAGCGAGAAATGCATTTATCGTACCAACGACAGGGGCTGTCGCATTGGAAACAAAAATTTATCCACAAAAAGGATGCATTCAAAAAGTGGCGATTCTAAGACCGCAAAGAAGAATTGCATTTTCATTGGAAAATCTCTTGAAGTTTCACTGTCAGCACTTATCGTGCGAATATAAGTTTCGACAGAAGAAAAGTCTAGTCAGAAAGTGAACACCGATTAGCACGACGAAAAAACGACGTGATTAATCCGCAATTGCTATCATGATGGAATCAGAATCACTGACAACGCGATTATTCCAGTCTTATTGCTGTCACGATATAGACCCAGTGAACATGAATGTCTATAATAGACAATCCGAAAGACGTCTTAAAAAAGACGACTTTAAGACGTTTACAAAAAGACATCTTTAAGATAACTTTTAGCCAAGTCCTAAAGACTATTCTTTTTAAGACGTCTTTTGGACGTCTTTTCTAGGACGACTTTAAGATTTTACAAAAAGATATCTTGAAGACGACTTTTGGTCAAATCCTATAAAGACATCTGTTTTAAGATATCTTTTGGACATATCTGTTTAAGACATATTGCAGAACAAGAATAAGACAATGTTTTATAATAATTCGTAAATCAGCATATCCCAGAGAACAATTTGACGTCTTAAAGACGTCATAAAGACGTCCTAAAATTCATCAGACATTTTTTGGAAGTATCAGAATGACGTCTTAAAGATGTCTTATGCGTCGATTTATGACGTCTTAAAGATATTATCTTACTTTTGTGATGGTTACACTGTGATATAAAAGCAGATTATAGATTACTATGAAATATTTAAAAACATTTAAAATCAGTGAGGCAATATAATTTCAAATTATTTTCATTTTCGTAATTAGTATATGTTACTGCATTTCTATAATATATTTATTTATTAGATCATACAAGTATTCGTGGTATTTGTGCATTATATTAAAAAATTATTTATGCATTATTAAAAAATAAGATAATTAAAAGGTTCAGTTGAATAAATCACAAAAACAAACAAAATGCCAATATGAACTAACACAAGTTCTTAGTGTGTACTTTTTATACAATTTATTGGAAATAAATAAATAAACATCTACGTTTCATTATTTATTTCTAATAAATTGTATGAAAAGTACACTCTAAGAACTTATGTTGGCTCATATGGCATCTTGTTTGTTTTTGTGTATATATATTAAATATACTTATAATAATTAATTTTATATGTTCTCCAATGAATACGTACTATTCTAATATTACATTTTCATATATTTTGTTATGTTAATATTTTAATTATATGCTAATTATATTCTAATATTATACGCTTGCAGTTAAAGACTGATACGCATATGTAAAGATGAATGCATACGTTATTTAGTTTTGTAAAAAAAGATTTATTCTTTGTAATTGAATAACAGTTTTGATTAAAATAATAATTGTGCAATAACGTCTCTTTTTTCATCACCTTCCATAATTACATTATAGTTATCATTATTTCTATTTTCCATTTCTACATTTTCTATTTCTACAATATCAAATGGTTCATCCTCATTATCTATACAAATATTATGCAAAATACAACATGCATGTATAACTAATGGAATCATTTCAGTATTGTACATATATACGTATTTCAGTTTTCGAAATCGTCCTTTTAGCATTGCATACGCTCTTTCAATTCTAACACGAGTTGTGGATAATTTTGTATTATAATTACGTTGTATATTATTTAAGTGACCATTGTCACGATATGGGGTGAGCATATAATGTGATAATGATACGCAGAATCACCTAATAGGTGACTATGTTGTGAAAAATATCTTTCTACATCATGATCTATCATATTTTTTATATCACTTAGCCGCTAAACTCGAGCGTCATGAACGCTACCACAAATTCCAGTAAAAACGTCAATAAATTTCATTTTATGATCACAAATGCCTTGCAGTATTATAGAATGAAAACTTTTTCTATTTATATAACTATCTGGATGTTCAATAGGAGAACTAACAGGAATATGACAACCATCAATAATACCCACTACACCTGGGAAATTATTCATAACAGTAAATTGTTGTTGTATATGTAATATTTCATGAACTTCTGGCCATTTAATATAATTTTGAACACGTTGCTCTAGTATGTAAGCCACATTGAAAACACATCTCCATACAGTGTCTTTACATACTCCAAATCGATCTGCGACAGATCTAAAATAAAATTTTCAATGCAGTAATAAAAACTTAAAAACAATGTAATACGAGTTCAGATCAATGAGAATAAATTTAATTAAGAAAGAAAATATTTTAATTACTAACCTGTAAACTTCCTGATTGCCAAAAATCCATAAGGCAATAGCAAGTTGCTTGGCTGGTGGTAATTGAGGAGAATCATCATTTTCTATCAATAACGCTAATCCAAAAGTTTGTATCAATTGTTCAAAAGTATTTCTTTCAATACGAAAGTGTGATTTGAAATCTATATAAAATAATATAAAAATATTATTATATAAAATACAAAAAAATAATATATATGTAGTTTTATTATTACCTGTTAAAGAATAAAAAAGGACAACATTTTCAAAATAATTATTAATTTTTAGATGCTGTTCTCTTAAATGTGCCATTTCCTCATTATTATAAATGTTCTCATTATTGTTATTAAAAAAAATATTCCATAACAAATGTACATCCATTCTTTTTTCACTGCACAGATGTAAAATAAATAGATAATTTTCATAAGGTAATATGATTAATTTATATGATTTTTAAATGTTCCTAAAATTTTTTATCCTAAATTACCTATATTCGCGAGTTAAGTAAAAGAACATTTCAATTTCAATTGCTCATAACTCCGTTAAAAATCATTGTACCGCAATAAAATAAAAATGAGATTCATAAAACTGGAACTTTGCATTATCAAATGATACAATCGCTAATTTTTTTAATGTACAATATGCAATTTTGAGTTAATAAAATACTGCAGAACTTTTCTTCTAACCCAATACATCTTAGAATCACTTAATAATTTTTTTTATATCGATGTGTACCACGAAGTGCGTTGAGTTTGATAGGTATTGTTGACTCTTTTCCGTGTATGTGATTGGCCGATTTTGAGATAAATGAATATGAGACGTGTCAAAGAGGCGCGCGCGTAGCGCGCGCTGTTCAATTCAATGGGAAAAAGTGACAGTTTATAGAAATATAATCCGTGTGAGGGTTAGTGCAATTGAGAGAGCGAGAGATTGCGAGAAGGAGAGTGAGAGAGATAACGAGATGTTGAGAGAGCGAGCGAGAGAACGTAAGTACGAGTAAGAGATCGAGGAAGCGGGCGAGAGTGCAAACGAGAGAGTGAGAGAGCGAGCAAGAGAGCGTTAGTGCAATTGAGAGAGCGTGCGAGAGAGCGTAAGTGCGAGTAAGAGAGCGAGGGAGCAAACGAAAGTGCAAACGAGAGAGTGAGAGAGCGAGCAAGAGAGGGTTAGTGCAATTGAGAGAGCGAGATTGCTGGAAGAGCAGAGCGAAAAAGCGAGAGAGATAACGAGAGCTTGAGAGAGCGTGCGAGAGAGCGTAAGTGCGAGTAAGAGAGCGAGGGAGCGAACGAGAGAGTGACAGTGCGAGCAAGAGAGCGTGTGTGCTAATGAGAGAGCGAGAGAGCGAGAAAGAGAGTGAAAAAAGCGAGAGAGCGAGAGAGCGAGATTGCGAGGAGAGCGAAAAAGAGAACGTAGCTTTAATAGTAGCTTTAATATTACCGTATATTTTTTCAGTTTTTTATATGGAATAATGGTATATACGTTGCATCCACAAAAATAAAAGCACAATTATTTAGCGAGGAAGATTCGAATCCTCAAGAAAACGTTG